TATGGAAAATGATTAAAAATAGCAACACATTTTAGCATATCTCCACTAATTTGGTTACATTTATTTTTATCTTATCATACAACCTTTTGTCACACACAAACCAAATATTTTGATTAAAAAGCTATATATTTATCTTATTATTATTATTTTTATTACATTAGTTGGTCTATTATTATTATTCTCGTTCTTATAAGTAATTTACGGGGGTCTATTCGTTTGGGAATTTGAGTGACATTTTAAGACTTTAAATTTGATATTTTTTAATTTTTTCAGATTTTGAAATGCTATGAAATATTTAGGCCTGGAGCACTACAAAAAAAACTCTTACATTCCAACGGAAATTTTCCGTTGGAATAGCTATTCCAACGAATATTCCTACGTATAAAAATCCGTGGAAAAAACGGCCGATGGAATAGTTAAAATCCAACGGAAAATCCTATGGAAATAAATTCCTACAACTATTCCAACGAAAAAAATGTTGGAATTCCTCAACCATCCAACACTTATTCCAACATAAAATTATGGTTGTTGGAATATTCATTGGAATTTCCAACGGAATTTTTTGCCTTTGGAATTTTTCGTTGAAATTGAAGTGTTTTCTTGTAGTGGAGATAGGACTTGAAGTGAGTTTCGTATAATGTTTTTTCTTTTGAAATCTCAACAAATTTTAAAAAATCTTAACAAATCATAGTCTTAACTAAGTTAATTAATACCTCAAGATTTTGTAAAATTTTTAAAACCCTAAATGAATACCCCGAGACTTCAAAAGGTCTTAAAAATTATGAACTAAATATATCAGGCATTCTAAAGCCTTAAAAAGTCTAAATCCGAAACGTATACACCCTCCTTAATTTTAACATCTATCATATAAAATACTTGAGTAAAAGCTAAAATAGTTGTTATATTCAACTTTCTTTCCATTCATAAAATAATGTCTTTGTAGAATAAGTTTTTATTTATGATTACTTGATATTTTGTCATTGTTTAAAATTACTTACATATAAATAATATAAATATTATTAAAATTATATACATATAAATTCCACCTCAGTCTTTGTCATTAGACAAGTCCTAAACCAATAAAATCGTTTTAACATTAATGACATTTAATTTCATATTGTTGTTTGATAATTTAACTAATTGGAACAGTACAGTGACGACATGGTTGAAAGAGATGTTCGGCTGATGACTTATAAGACAACGTTTTAGAAGATCTAATCACCTAACTTTGAACAGTTTTGCTATGGAGTCATTGGATGACACGTTTTATGGAACTATTCATACTTATTCACAAATAGTGTATTGACATGTGTCCTACAATAGTTACACTTTGGACATGTGTCAATAAATTAAGTGATGAATGACTTCATAAGAAAATCATTCGATGATTCCATATAATTTATGTACCTTTGAATTAGTTTTCTAAATGTTTTCGAAGTATTATGCTACGTATGCATCTTCAGTTAGTTTTGAAGTTGGTCCTCAAGTATTATGTTATATAAGAACTTATAGGGAAAATATCAAAAGTAGTCCCACAACTATC